CAGTAGCGTTACCCCCTTTATTAGTTTACCCCCACAGGGGGTCGACGAGGTACGAGGAGGGGGGGGGGGGTCTAATAAAGATATTATTTTTTACCCAAGGACAGGGAAGAACTGAGATAGAACCCCAGAACATATATAAAAAGATTTACTAATTTAAGATAAACCCAAGAACAGGGAAGAACCGGGAGAGAACCATATAATAAACAACTTACTAATTTTACTTTTGTTTTACCCACTGGTTCAGTTTATACTATTTTGCCCCAAATAATAGTACTACCAATTGACGAGTTTTGCTACCCCCTTATATGTTTACCCCCACAGGGGGTCGACGAGGTACGAGGAGGGGGGGGGGTCTACTTATTAATTTTTTGGTCGCGAAGCTCGCAAGCTCGCTTCGCTCTATCTATAAAAGAAAATAGCTTACTCTAAAAAACATTATTTATTCTTGTCGCAAATAAAGAGGCAATTTTCCCTAGTTTTTTTAGCGAGATGGTTTATCACCTTTTACCCGAAGGGGTTCTCTTTTCTTTGCCTTTCCCTTCCCAGTTAGGACGATATAGCTCAATTGGTAGAGCGTCTGAGTGTGGATCAGACGGCTCCCTGTTCGAACCAGGGTATCATCCCCTAGGGTTACGCAAGGGCTATAGCTTAATTGGTAAAGTGTGCAACTCATGATTGCATTTTTGATCGTTCAAGTCGGTCTAGCCCTAAGGTGTTGCCCCTGCTGGCTACACCTTTTCCTTCATCTCCTTTATCCCTTTAGCCCCGTGCGATCCTTTTATTACCTTCCTGATTTCCCTGAGTTGGGATTTCTCTGTTGGCTTCAGGCCACCCTCGTACTCCACTACACGTCGTTGCTACCGACGGGACAGAGGCCCTGATGATGTTCCTGTAGCTTAATAATTTTTTTTTATATCCCTTAAGATATATTGACCCTTGTGCTCCTTCGTCCTTTGGTTTCGGACTCCTGAAATAGGTTCCACCCTTTTTTTGCGAAACCAGTTGACAGATGGAGGGTTCGTTCGATTTCCTCGGGAATTTCACGTTCTGGAGATTAGATCGCTATTTTGCTGCCGGATTTGAGCTCGATACTTTGAGGCTCGACCCTTGTAACGGTCTTATAGGCCTCCGGTGAGTCTTTTAAGACTGATGCCTTGATAATCTGGATGGCTCCCGCACTTCCTGGTTAGAGAGAGCGTCGGTGGTAACTGAGAGACTTTACCTTTACTTTTTAGACCCGTAAGAGGTTGGTTAATACCTTACTAGGCTTGTGCCTCTAGTTGAAATGCTCTTCGAAAATACGCTACAATACGGCGAGGGCTGATCTCCTCTCGAATATCGATTGAACTTCAAGGCGATTGTTTGACTAACTTCATTTCATTTTTAAAAGTGAAAACTTGCTTACGATTCGAAACCGAGAGACCGCGATGCAAAGGTAGGTCCGAGCACTTTCTACTCGAAGTGCTCGGACGCTGTGCTGCCCCTTCGTTCTTTTTTATGGTGATTTTTGTCTTCTCTCGTGGAAAGCCTTTGCCTCTTTACTCTGTTTTGAGATAGGGAGTTGCCTAGTGACGCTTTGGTTGAGAGATGGCCACTTCACCTTGAAGTTCGTTGGGAGAAAGAAAAGTGAGACCCCCTTTTAGGTCAACCCCTTTCATGGGGTCTACTAGAAATCAGTTAATCCTAGCCAAATCTTTTCGATCCCTTCACTCCTTTTTTCGCTTGACGGACAGAGCTATGTTCAGTTCAGTTGGAAGACCCGGGTGAAAAACCCTTCACCTTCCGGTTCTGGTTGTGCTCCTTCCACCGCGCCGTTCGGCCCTCCAAATATGCTCTTGAGATCTGAGGTTTTGATTGAGACGCTTTACGCCGTAGGAGATTGAGATTTACACGCCTGAAAATGTTCTTAGTTCAGCTACACAGACAATCCGTGATGGGACTTGCCTTCTGATTAGAGAAGGGAGGCGGCCCAATACAGCATGAGGAAGTACTTGTCTCGTACAGCCTTGTACGAGCTCGAACCTCATGGGCCAGGGAGAACGATGCTGCCCTGATTGCGGAGGAAGATTTCAATGGACGATTAGACCAGGTACCCAAAAGGTAGTAAAGCGGAAGGGTACATAATCTGGCCCGTGGATAGGCTGGGCGTGAGCCCTGACCTTGAATAGCTGGTAGGGTTTCTTCGTCGGATAAGACCCGGATAGGCGACTCTACGATAAGCAAGAAAAGCAAGCTGAAGGATGAGGCGGGAGATCACCCCTTCTTAACTTTGACTAAATGATTTGACGGTTGTCGCCCCCCACTAGAGGGGTTTGGCCTTGCCCATGAGAGCCGGCACACAGTACAGCCGCGGTTGGGTGACCCTTCCTTAAGACCAATTACGCCTTATGAGTATACCCCCTTTTTGCTTCACACGTACTGAGAGGATACCTCAGTTCTGGCGCTTTTGGCTGCTAAGGGTTGCTGCTCTTCCACCGACGCTTGAGGCTTGGCCTGACTTAACCTTAGTTTAAGAGGGGGCCGACTTCTTTTTAATCTCTCTTTTAAAATTATTTAAGAGGAATTCCTGGCGATAGGCCTATTTATTAGATACCTTCAGGTTCGACTCCTGATTTCTCTTTCAGTCGCGAGATACTCGGTATAAGTTATTTTTACAAATATCCATAAGTTAATGGTAGACTACCTTCCTTTTTTGGCTGGAGTGTCGATTCGAGTTCGACTGGATATTCCCTTTTTTCGCTTTACCTATTTTATTCTTTTACGTTCGCGGAGCGAACTCCCTTTACTAAGGGTACTATCCTTTTACCCACTGGTTGAATTTATTTATTTTTATTTACCAATAGAGTAGACTACCAATTCACGAGTAGCGCTACCCCCCTTTTACGGTCGGGAGCTCGGAACGAGCTCCCTCCCTTCATTTATCTTTTCTTTTCCTTTATATCTTTATCCCTTAATTTTTACCAATGGAGAAGACTACCCTTCAACAGTAGCGTTACCCCCTTTATTAGTTTACCCCCACAGGGGGTCGACGAGGTACGAGGAGGGGGGGGGGGGTCTAATAAAGATATTATTTTTTACCCAAGGACAGGGAAGAACTGAGATAGAACCCCAGAACATATATAAAAAGATTTACTAATTTAAGATAAACCCAAGAACAGGGAAGAACCGGGAGAGAACCATATAATAAACAACTTACTAATTTTACTTTTGTTTTACCCACTGGTTCAGTTTATACTATTTTGCCCCAAATAATAGTACTACCAATTGACGAGTTTTGCTACCCCCTTATATGTTTACCCCCACAGGGGGTCGACGAGGTACGAGGAGGGGGGGGGGTCTACTTATTAATTTTTTGGTCGCGAAGCGAGCTTGCGAGCTTCGCGACCAAAAAATTAATAAGTAGACCCCCCCCCCTCCTCGTACCTCGTCGACCCCCTGTGGGGGTAAACATATAAGGGGGTAGCAAAACTCGTCAATTGGTAGTACTATTATTTGGGGCAAAATAGTATAAACTGAACCAGTGGGTAAAACAAAAGTAAAATTAGTAAGTTGTTTATTATATGGTTCTCTCCCGGTTCTTCCCTGTTCTTGGGTTTATCTTAAATTAGTAAATCTTTTTATATATGTTCTGGGGTTCTATCTCAGTTCTTCCCTGTCCTTGGGTAAAAAATAATATCTTTATTAGACCCCCCCCCCCCTCCTCGTACCTCGTCGACCCCCTGTGGGGGTAAACTAATAAAGGGGGTAACGCTACTGTTGAAGGGTAGTCTTCTCCATTGGTAAAAATTAAGGGATAAAGATATAAAGGAAAAGAAAAGATAAATGAAGGGAGGGAGCTCGTTCCGAGCTCCCGACCGTAAAAGGGGGGTAGCGCTACTCGTGAATTGGTAGTCTACTCTATTGGTAAATAAAAATAAATAAATTCAACCAGTGGGTAAAAGGATAGTACCCTTAGTAAAGGGAGTTCGCTCCGCGAACGTAAAAGAATAAAATAGGTAAAGCGAAAAAAGGGAATATCCAGTCGAACTCGAATCGACACTCCAGCCAAAAAAGGAAGGTAGTCTACCATTAACTTATGGATATTTGTAAAAATAACTTATACCGAGTATCTCGCGACTGAAAGAGAAATCAGGAGTCGAACCTGAAGGTATCTAATAAATAGGCCTATCGCCAGGAATTCCTCTTAAATAATTTTAAAAGAGAGATTAAAAAGAAGTCGGCCCCCTCTTAAACTAAGGTTAAGTCAGGCCAAGCCTCAAGCGTCGGTGGAAGAGCAGCAACCCTTAGCAGCCAAAAGCGCCAGAACTGAGGTATCCTCTCAGTACGTGTGAAGCAAAAAGGGGGTATACTCATAAGGCGTAATTGGTCTTAAGGAAGGGTCACCCAACCGCGGCTGTACTGTGTGCCGGCTCTCATGGGCAAGGCCAAACCCCTCTAGTGGGGGGCGACAACCGTCAAATCATTTAGTCAAAGTTAAGAAGGGGTGATCTCCCGCCTCATCCTTCAGCTTGCTTTTCTTGCTTATCGTAGAGTCGCCTATCCGGGTCTTATCCGACGAAGAAACCCTACCAGCTATTCAAGGTCAGGGCTCACGCCCAGCCTATCCACGGGCCAGATTATGTACCCTTCCGCTTTACTACCTTTTGGGTACCTGGTCTAATCGTCCATTGAAATCTTCCTCCGCAATCAGGGCAGCATCGTTCTCCCTGGCCCATGAGGTTCGAGCTCGTACAAGGCTGTACGAGACAAGTACTTCCTCATGCTGTATTGGGCCGCCTCCCTTCTCTAATCAGAAGGCAAGTCCCATCACGGATTGTCTGTGTAGCTGAACTAAGAACATTTTCAGGCGTGTAAATCTCAATCTCCTACGGCGTAAAGCGTCTCAATCAAAACCTCAGATCTCAAGAGCATATTTGGAGGGCCGAACGGCGCGGTGGAAGGAGCACAACCAGAACCGGAAGGTGAAGGGTTTTTCACCCGGGTCTTCCAACTGAACTGAACATAGCTCTGTCCGTCAAGCGAAAAAAGGAGTGAAGGGATCGAAAAGATTTGGCTAGGATTAACTGATTTCTAGTAGACCCCATGAAAGGGGTTGACCTAAAAGGGGGTCTCACTTTTCTTTCTCCCAACGAACTTCAAGGTGAAGTGGCCATCTCTCAACCAAAGCGTCACTAGGCAACTCCCTATCTCAAAACAGAGTAAAGAGGCAAAGGCTTTCCACGAGAGAAGACAAAAATCACCATAAAAAAGAACGAAGGGGCAGCACAGCGTCCGAGCACTTCGAGTAGAAAGTGCTCGGACCTACCTTTGCATCGCGGTCTCTCGGTTTCGAATCGTAAGCAAGTTTTCACTTTTAAAAATGAAATGAAGTTAGTCAAACAATCGCCTTGAAGTTCAATCGATATTCGAGAGGAGATCAGCCCTCGCCGTATTGTAGCGTATTTTCGAAGAGCATTTCAACTAGAGGCACAAGCCTAGTAAGGTATTAACCAACCTCTTACGGGTCTAAAAAGTAAAGGTAAAGTCTCTCAGTTACCACCGACGCTCTCTCTAACCAGGAAGTGCGGGAGCCATCCAGATTATCAAGGCATCAGTCTTAAAAGACTCACCGGAGGCCTATAAGACCGTTACAAGGGTCGAGCCTCAAAGTATCGAGCTCAAATCCGGCAGCAAAATAGCGATCTAATCTCCAGAACGTGAAATTCCCGAG